GATTGCACTTTTATGTGTCGCTTACCTCCGGAGACTAGCATCTTTACAGCGGAGCTTTATGCTATTCTCTATGCTCTTCGTCTCCTGCTTTCTCGTTGTCAGTCTTCCTTTGTAGTTGTTGTTGACTCTCGTAGTGTCCTCATGGCTCTCGGGTCCTTTAATCTGGTTCATCCAGTAGTTGTCGAGATCCAGCAGTGGCTGTTTCTTGTTCACAGTAAATTTAAGTCGGTTGAGTTTTGTTGGGTTCCCAGCCATATTGGTGTGTCTTTAAATGAGCGTGCGGATGCTGCCGCCAAGGAAGCTGTCCGCTCTTGTCCCATCTCTTGTAAAGGTATTCCGTATTCCGACTTTTACCCGGTTATCCATTCCTCCGTCCTTACCCGTTGGCAGGCTTCTTGGTCGTCTGTTACTGGTAACAAACTACGTGCTCTTAAATGTTGTGTTTCCTCGTGGCCGTCCTCCTTCCACCATAACTGGCGGTGGGAAACAGCTCTGGCGAGGTTGCGTATTGGCCATACTCGCTTAACCCATGGTCACTTGATGCAGCGCTGCCCTGCTCCTTATTGTCCTAGTTGCATTGTCTCTCTTACGGTCGTGCATGTCCTTCTTGAATGTCCTGACTTCCAGGACGAGCGTGTGTCTTGCTTTCTGACCGCCCCTTGCGGTAACCTGTCCTTCAATAGAATTCTTGGTGACTCAGGATACTTTTGATATCGTTCGCCTTATGCGTTTTTGTTCTCATATTGGCATCCTTGGTGATATTTAGCGCCCTCTGATTATTTTGCGCATTTGATGGTGCTACATAGCCTTCCCGGTTTGGTGCCTTCTTTTGATAATTACTTACTTAGTGTCTTCTGAGAGAGACGTTGATGTACATATAGTGTATTAATACTTCCTTTTAAGACTTATATATATATAGATGGTGATGGGAAAGAAATTATATATATGGATAAAGTGATGAACTGTTGTATTTAATGTACCTCCCCCTTTTGTTTTACTTGTATTACTGAGCTCACCCCTTGAAAGCCTCTCCTAACTTGGGGCTGGACACCAGAACTTTAGTACCACCAGAAAAGAACCCGGTTGCGCCCCATTAGGGCCGTAACATACACTTGATGCAGGGCTGGAGTTTGGAAGAGTATTAAGGTTCTATGGTACACTCCGTTGATTGACTTCTTCTACAATAAGGAAAGTGCCTTGTTCCATTTTTTATGGTTATAGGGAGTGGCTCTTCTTAGTTTACCAGCCTGATATGGTTATGTGGCATGTTCAACCAGCCCAGATGGGTAAGTATTCCCGATAATAAATCACCCTAATTCGTGATTTAATAATTCAATAAATTTTCTATGCATTACTGCAATGTATATTGTAGGCAGGCTGGTGACCAGACTGAGAGCAAGACTGTATAGCAAAGCAACGCTTTAAATCCAAATTCTTAACTTAATTAACAGATTTTTTTAAGATTAGTTATTTATGGTTTTAAATATCCCGCCCCCCCCCCCAAGTGTGTAAGGAATCAGTTGTGCAGACTGATTCAGTCCACTACTTTTAATAAAATAAACTTATAATGTAATTAAATATATAATTAACCAAAATTTAAAATAATTATTCATATAAAATTAAACTTAATAAATATTGCTCTCATAAGTAAATTCCCACAGTCCTTCCTTGGTGTCCATGGGAAGAGGTGGGTCTGACTAAAGGCGCCCATGGGAAGAGGTGGGTCTGACTAAAGGCGCCCATGGGAAGAGGTGGGTCTGACTTAAGGTGTCCATGGGAGGAGGTGGGTCTGACTAAAGGCGCCCATGGGAAGAGGTGGGTCTGACTAAAGGCGCCCATGGGAAGAGGTGGGTCTGACTTAAGGTGTCCATGGGAGGAGGTGGGTCTGACTAAAGGTGCCCATGGGAAGAGGTGGGTCTGACTAAAGGTTCTGATACTCTAGCTTGCCAGAGTTAGTTGCCATTATTAATCTGATAAAAATGCAGCATGTCTTTAGGGTCCCAAACTACTCTATATATACTGATCTGTTTAACAATTCCTCCATCATATATTTAAGGCTCAGACACAACCAGATTAACCACTTGTGGTTACTGACCATCTTAACTCAAGGCTGCCTCCTATCTGCCCACCTTTCACCTTTCCCAACCTGCCTGTCAGCTACCTCAGGTTCTGACTAAACTGACTGACAGGTCCTGAATCTGACTGACTGGTCCTGTCAGCGACCCTCAGGTTCTTGATTCTGAAATTTCCTTTATCTACAAATCATTCTCTCGCTTTGGTTACCCGTTTTATTTTATCAACTGTGTATATTCTCAAGCAAAACGAAATTTCTTTCATCCTAAACCTACTTCCAACACAATTAGCACTGCTCTGCCTTCCCTTCATTTCTGAACTTAAAACTCCTACTAATACCTTTCGTCCTCTTGACATAAAGCTCGCCTTTCGACAAACTAACACACTTCATAGCAATCTAGTTCACACTGCTCCTCCTGCTTCTAATGCTGCTGGTGTCTAATCTGTTCGCTGTTCGTCTTGTCCTCTCCAATACTTTGGTGAAACTGGCCGAACACTGAATGACAGACAAAACGAACACAAAAGAAGAGTTAAGTCCGCAGACACAAACAATGTTCTCTTCTGTCATGTTAGAGATCCTAATCATCCTATTCATTGGTCTTCCTCTAAAATAATCTTTCCTACGCCGTCTTGTCGAATCGGCTCTGATACAAAACCTAGTCCTGGCTTTGTTGCTGTTGACTCTTCCCTTTCACAGTATGTACTCAAATGGCTTACACTTTCTAACAAACGTAACCTAACATAATCCTACCCTTCCTTTTATCTTTGTTTTTCTTTCTCTTACGATCCCTTTCTTATTCCTATTATTACACCCTTTATTACACTTTACCTTCCGTACCTTTTGCCTTGCTCTTATCTTCCTCTAAAATTTCCATCTCCTCATTTCTCTCTCTTGCCTACTTAATGCCCTTGCCTCCCGCGTCTCATCACAATCGACTTGATAATGGTCCAAGACGGACCGAAACGTCGTCGTCTCTTAAATTTCTAGTAAGTGGTTTGGTCAACATTTTTCAGCCACGTTATTATGACTCATCATCTGAATATATAACTATACATGAATAAATGGATCCAGATAATATGTGCATAGAGATAGAGATGTTATACTCACCTGACAATCACTCTAACGTCAGATTACAGGTCGAAGGCACAACTTGAGGATTCCTGAGGTCCCTTTCTGCCTCTTTAACTCAAACTTCAAGACATAGTCAGTAATGATTATAAATTGTCAGGTGAAGAGCATTGTAGTTGCACAAGTATATCAAGTTAATATTAGGGAGAGAGGTAAAGTGTTCAGTCAATCCCTCTTATACCGGCCCAATAACAGGGATTTAAGTATCCATATGATGCAGACGAAGGGCTGCTCGCTGCTCCAGCCCATTCTCCCATACGTTTCTAACGTTCTAAACTGATTTACTAAATTACCTGAACTTACCCTACACGAGGACCGACTAACAGAAAACAGAGTACGAACATTTTGCGAGCCGCTACGATTTATAGTGTTCAGTTTTTGGCCTAAGTAACTCTATGTCAAATTCCGATGTAATTTTGGAGCAGCAAGCTCCCATTCCTTAACATTTTCTATATTTACACATTTACCAGTGGTAAATAATTATTAATAATATTACTATTAATAACTTATTAATAATTATCTTGATAACATAATTATTTATAGTTTGATGCTAAATTTAATGTGCTCATAATTGTGATTATTGTGCAGCATTGAATTGTGTCAAATGTGGAAAGATCAGACTGTTTTAAATTTCAAATAATACAAATCGTGTTTGTCGCGATTCAATTGTTGAGTTTATTTTATTAACTAGGCTATCGTTCTGGTGTTAAAAGTTCCAAATTCAAGATATTGTATTGTGTTGATATTATTTAATGGCAAAGCTTACTCTGCCTGTTATTTCTCCCTACCACGTGGAAAACTCTTTCCCTCATTAGAAACTTATAGAAAGAGTTTACAAGATTTTTGTCACTTAAGCAGTTTCTCAAATTTTTTATTGACAATAAAATTTTTATTACTTTATATAAAACAGTGGAAATATTATGTTAAATTGTAACCCACTTATTGAATACTTGACCCTAAAACAATTATTTAACCTAAAGGTAAAAAGGGTAATTAATTGTTGGAGTAGTTGCCCAGTAGTACATGTTCTACATCTACTACTTCTATAGACAAACTGACTTTTAACTCTGGGAGGCAGTAAAGTTGCTAGCTTTCTCACTCCGCATAGCCAAGTATACTTTAACAGACACGTGTAGCTAAAATAACAGGTAACATAGCATGTATTATATATACCTAATAGCAATGAAACATCTCCAGGTATGTAGTATATTGGCACCCACGAAAAACCCGTTACAAAGTATAATATTTCTGAAATCAGTGGTATACATCCGTCCCTTTAAACAACAGCTGGAAATGTAGCAGAATTGCACCTTCAGCTGGTGTATGAAATTTCATGACAACTCTGTCGACCATTAAATTAAAGCTATATGGACATAAGGCACCTCTGTTCAATTACTTTATAACTCTTAAGGTATGGTAACTTTGCTTACAAACTGCTTTTGATCTATTACGCTAGTCTCTGTGAATCACAAGAAAAACTACAACCTAATGCATGAAACATATCAAGACATTAGCCTAGTTTCTTGATACGTTATTACATAGACATAAAACAGGATTTGTATGTTATTCCAAATTAGGTACTAACATTTCAAAATGCTGCCATCACAAATAAGAATTAACTAAAACATTCAATTTCCCACGTAAACTTAACACATTACATGCCTACTGATCAATTTGCATATGCTGACTGTTTTCTTAATCATAAACTTTCATTTACATATTTAACATGCCACATGTACTTTTGTAAGTAATCTGTTCTCATCTGGTGTGCAATTTCACCTACGGTAATGAACCTTTGTTATTTTAAATTATGAAGAACAGCCTTGTTCATAACATGATAACACATACCTTGACGAGTTGGATAAGTTGAGGACAGAGTAGATGGAAACAGGTAGGCAGTTGTCAGGTCAGCAGGTGATGAATCAGCCGGTGATAGGTTAGCAGATGATGGATCAGCAGGTGATGAGTCACCAGATGATGGATCAGCAGGCGATGGGTCATCAGGTGATGGATCAGCAGGCGATGAGTCATCAGATGATGGATCAGCAGGTGATGAGTCACCAGATGATGGATCAGCAGGTACCATGTCAGCAGGCAGAGTGCCAGCAGATAACTTTTCAACCGGCAGGATATCAGCATGCACCGTGCCAACAGGCAGAGTGTTAGTAGGAATCATGTCAACTAACTCCATGTCAACAGTCACCATGTCAGCAGGTACTGTGCCATCAGGCACCATATTAACAAGCACGGTGTCAGCAAGGGCCTGGAGAGGCAGGGTGTCAGCAGGTGCCGGGAGAGGCAGGGTGTCAGCAGGGGCCGGGAGAGGCAGGGTATCAGCAGGGGCCTGGAGAGGCAGGGTGTCAGCAGGGGCCGGGAGAGGCAGGGTGTCAGCAGGTGCCGGAAGAGGCAGGGTATCAGCAGGGACCTGGAGAGGCAGGGTGTCAGCAGGGGCCGGGAGAGGCAGAGTATCAACAGGTGCCGGGAGAGGCAGGGTATCAACAGGTGCCGGGAGCGGCAGGGTATCAGCAGGGACCGGGAGAGCCAGAGTGTCAGCAGGGGCCTGCAGAGGCAGGGTGTCAGCAGGGGCCGGGAGAGCCAGGGTGAGGACAAGAGACACCGTAGCAGCCATCACAATAAACAGCCGCAACACAGCAGAAGTCGTCACCAAACTCTGCCTCTTCCTTGCCCTGTTAATCCTGACTTTCTTGTTGTGTTGTTTCCTGTGGCCATTGTGGTGGTGTTGACTCATCTTTGGCTCTGGCCACAACTGCTGCTGCTGTATAGTACTTATGGATGTGCAGCTTCTTCCTGTGATGCTGCTGCTGTTCTCAGGCACTGCTCTGTCGCCTGGTCTTGCTACAGCTGCTGTACTCATCAGATACTGCTGTTGCTCTTAACAATGTTTTCACTGTAAAAGAAAAAGAGATAAAATATTACAATTAAAATCCAATTTGTATATCAATTCAAAATGCATAACGTATTACAATGCAAAAAGTTATGCATTTTATTAAAGTCTTTATTTCTGGGAAAATTTGAACCTTTCTTTGAATCAAGTTCCTCTTTGTACCATGACCATCCATAAATAGTACAGTTTTGCTGAATAGTACAGTTTTGCATCATGATCAGCCAAGCCTGTCTGGCGAGTACATCTTTGTGCCGTGACCATCCAAACCTGCCTTGCGAGTACATCTTTATGCCGTGACCAATATGATCTTAGAGAGTATACCAACTGTTTTAGAAACCTTTTTAGTTATGTGTTGTATGTGGGTGCTGAAGATGAGTCTCTTGTCTAGGTGTAGGCTAAGGAACTTTCCATCATTTTTATTGCTAATATTTACATTATCTATCTGAAGCTGAATTGCATTTGTTGATTTACTTCCAAATAAGATGTAGTAGGTCTTTCCTATGTTTTGTGTGAGTTTGTTAGTTAACATCCATAAGTGGACTTTTTTAATTCATTGTTTACAACATTATTTAATATGAGTTGGTTGGGGTCAGAGTAGATGAGAGTAGTATCATCAGCAAACAAAATAGGTTTTAGCATGTTAGAAACATTAGGCTGATCATTGATGTATATAAGAAACAGGAGGAGTCCTTGGATGCTGCCTTGTGGCACCCATACGGTTAGTGGTAGAGTAGGAGAGGTTATATCATTGATGGCTACATATTGGTGTCTGTCACTAAGATAGCATCGGATATATTTCAGGGCAAGGCCAAAGATTCCATAATGGTGGAGTTTAAGTAAGAGGAAGTTATGGTTAACAGTATCAAAAGCCTTTCTCAGCTCAATGAAGAGTCCAATTGGAAACTCACTTTTGTCAAGGGCTGAGTAGAATAAGTCAAGCAGACTAACAATTGCATCATTGGTACTCTATTGGAAGCGGAAGCCAAACTGCCAGGGACTTAGTGTATTGAATTTTACGAGATTGGAGTAGAGCTGTTTGTAAATACTTTTTTCAAATATTTTGGATAATAAAGGAAGATTTGATATGGGTCTGTAATTATTTATGTCTACCGTGTTACCTCTTTTATGAGCTGGCGTTACTCTTGCTTTTTTAAGGATGTCAGGGAAGGTATGACACTAGAGATTTATTGAACAGCTAAGTTATGGGTGGTGAAAGGGCATGGGAGGCACTCTTGTATACCATCGTTGGTATTTCACTAATGTTCCCAACTTTGTTTTTAGTGAGTGAATGATGGAGACAACATCTGTAGGACTGATCGGTGAGAGGAGAAGAGAGTTTAGATAGCTGCCTGAAAGATATGTGGTAACATGTGTCTGGGTCTGTGGGATTTTTCGGGCAAGGTTAGCACCAATCGATGAAAAGAAGCTATTAAATTCTTTTGTTATTTCAAGGTCTGTTGCAGGTGTATAACCATCCTTGGAGATTTTTATCTTGTTATGTGAATGTTGTTTATCTCCTGGAATGTTAGAGATGGCTCTCCGTGTGCTTTTCATGTTGCCTTTTGCTTCTTTGAATCTATTCTCATAAGAGGAACGCTTTGCTCTTCTTATTATACTGGTAAGCACTGACGAGTACTTCTCCAAGATGACCTAGACAGACTGAACGAATGGTCCAACAAATGGCTGTTAAAGTTCAACCCGAGTAAATGCAAAGTAATGAAACTAGGCGGTGGAAACCGGAGGCCAGACACAGGATACAGAATAGGAGATGAAGAAGTTAATGAAACGCACAGAGAGAAAGATCTAGGAGTTGATATGACACCAAACCTGTCTCCTGAAGCCCACATAAAAAGAATTACGTCTGTGGCATATGCGAGGCTGGCTAACATCAGAACAGCCTTCTGGAACCTGTGTAAGGAATCATTCAGAATCTTGTATACCACATATGTAAGACCAATCTTGGAGTATATGGCCCCAGCATGGAGCCTGTACCTTGTCAAGCACAAGACGAAGCTGGAAAAGGTTCAAAGGTACGCCACTAGACTAGTCCCAGAATTAAGAGTCATGAGTTTCGAGGAAAGGCACCTCACGACACTGGAAGACAGAAGAGTAAGGGGGAGACATGATCACTACCTATAAAATACTCAGGGGAATCAACCGGGTAGACAAGGATAAACTATTCAACACGGGTGGTACGTGAACAAGGGGGCACAGGTGGAAACTGGGTATCCACATGAGCCACAGGGACATTAGAAAGAACTTTTTCAGTGTCAGAGTTATTAACAGATGGAATGCATTAGGCAGTTTTTTTTTTTTTTATTCTTTGCAGGGATATTCCTGCGCGGGCCCTAAGCCTCTGGCTGGTCCACTAAGTGTTGCTTGTTTCTGTTTTACTTGGCCGGAGTATAAGTATTTATTACTCGTATGGTCGCTTCAATAAGATTTTGCCATATGTGTTTAACAACTTCTTCTGCTCTGTTGAATCTAAGTTGAAATCTTAATGGGTTTGTAACTGTGCACTGTGTTAGATAATGTTCCAATGATCTGTCGGGCATTTCTCGACAGTGTTGACATTTCCTCTCATCTTCCAGAACCTGTAAGCCTTTTTCCCATGCACATGGGTATCCAAGCCTGAATTGTCGAACAAACGACAAGGAAGTGTGTGAGGAACTGAATAAGAAATTCCAGGAGATCCTTACCTTAGAGCAAGTAGAAATTCCAGAGATAAGAGAGGGAATAGTTAACCAGGAACCACTAGAAGAGTTTGAGATTACCAGCGGGGAAGTAAGGAAGTTTTTACTAGAGTTGGATGTGACAAAGGCTATAGGCCCAGATGGAATCTCCCCTTGGATACTAAAGGAAGGAGCAGAAGCACTGTGCCTGCCACTCTCAATGACCTAGACAGACTGAGTGAATGGTCCAACAAATGGCTGCTAAAGTTTAACCCAAGTAAATGTAAAGTAATGAAACTAGGCTGTGGAAACAGAAGGCAAGACACAGGATACAGAATAGAAGATGAAGTACTTCAAGAAACGGACAGAGAAAGATCTAGGGGTTGATATCACACCAAACCTGTCTCTTGAAGCCCACATAAAAAGAAATACGTCTGTGGCATATGCGAGGCTGGCTAACATCAGAACAGCATTCAGGAACCTGTGTAAAGAATCATTCAGAATCTTGTACACCACATATGTAAGACCAGTCCTGGAGTATGTGGTCCCAGCATGGAGCACATAGCTTGTCAAGCACAAGATGAAGCTGGAAAAAGTTCAAAGGTATGCCACTAGACTAGTCCCAGAACTAGAAGGCATGAGTTACGAGGAAAGGCTGCGGGGGATGCACCTTACGATCCTGGAAGACAGAATAGTAAGGGGAGACATGATCACTACATACAAACACACACAGCCACACACACAGGGCTACTATGTAGTGAGGAAAGAGAGAGAAGGGAGAGGAGGAGGTGGTGTAGCTTTGCTACTAAGAGAAGGTTGGAGTTTCGAAGAAATGGTAATTCAGAAGTGTGAAAGTTTCAGTGACTACATATCAGGCACCATAGCAACTGGAGGACAGAAAATTATAGTAGCAGTCATATATAACCCCCCCACCGAATGACAGAAGACCCAGACAGGAATATGATAGAAACAACTTGGCCACCATCAATATAATAGAGAGAGCAGCTTCTGTGGCTAGCAGGAACGGATCCAGACTACTAATCATGGGAGACTTCAACCATGGGAAGATAGATTGGGGGAACAGAAACCCACATGGAGGCCCAGACACATGGGGAGCTAAGCTGCTGGATGTGGAAACAAGAAACTTTCTAAGTCAACACGTCAAGGGACCGACAAGATTGAGAGGAGGGGATGAACCAGCCTTACTTGATCTGATATTTATCCTAAATGAGTCGGATATAAGGGAAGTTAAGTTGGAAGCCCCATTGAGAATGAGTGATCATAGTGTATTGAGCTTTGAGTACCTGGTTGAGCTAGGAATTATCACCCCCAAAAAAGAACTGGGAAACAAAGGGCTGGCGTACCGAAAGGGAAACTATGAGGAGATGAATAAATTCCTATGGGATATACATTGGGACACAGAACTCGGAACCAAGTCCGTACAAGACATGATGGACTATGTCACCCAAAAATGTCAGGATGCTGTAAGCAGGTTTGTCCCAGCCCGACAGGAAAAAACAGAGAAGCAAAGGAAGAATCCGTGGTTTAATAGGGAATGTATGAGAGCAAAGGAGCTGAACAAAAGGGCGTGGAGGAACTTCCGTAATAACAGAACACCAGAAAGTAGAGAGAGACACCAGAGAACCAGGAACGAGTATGTTAGTGTGAGAAGAGCAGCTGAGAAAAGGTATGAAAATGATATAGCTAATAAAGCCAAGACCGAACCAAAGCTACTACACAGTCACACCAGGAGGAAGACAACATTGATGGAACAGGTAATGAAACTTAGGGTGGGCGAGGACAGGTACACAGAGAATGACAAAGAGGTGTGTGAAGAACTCAACAAAAGGTTCCAGGAGGTCTTTACAATAGAACAGGGAGATGTCACGGCGCTAGGAGAGGTGGCAGCAAATAAGGTGACCTTGGATTGGTTCGAAATTACAAGAGATGACGTCAAGAAGCACTTATTGGAGCTCGATGTGAGAAAAGCTGTTGGGCCGGACAGAATTTCACCATAGGTATTGAAACAGTGTGCAGGAGCACTTTGCTTGCCACTCTCCATAGTGTATAGTAGGTCACTGGAAACGGGAGACCTACCAGAAATATGGAAGACTGCTAATGTAGTACCAATATTCAAAAAGGGTGACAGATAAAAGGCACTGAACTACAGGCCAATGTCCTTAACTTGTATACCATGCAAGGTGATGGAGAAGACTGTGAGAAAAAACCTAGTAACACATCTGGAGAGAAGAGACTTTGTGACAACCTATCAACATGGGTTTAGGGAGGGTAAATCTTGCCTTACAGGCTTGATAGAATTCTACGATCAGG